ATCTCACGCGATCACTTTTGTTCTTTGTAACGTGGTTCTCTTTGGTTTTGCTTTCGCAATCTTTCCCCACTTTTGTTTGAATTTTTTGGTATGCGAGTCGCCTGAAGGATCTGGAAAAACCAAAAGAAAGAACCACAGCTCAGACCACCACCTCTGACAAGGAAAGGAGAAACACTGAGTCGCCTCGCGCCGGTGCAACGCTGGATCCCTCGGGCTCCTGGAGCCCTTGAGGATGTGCATGCATGACCGGGTGCCGGCCTCCTAGCGAGACGGCCGTCCTCGCATTTCTACAAATCGCGACGGACACCCCGAGGGCTGCTCTGCCAGCAAAAAGACGGTAAGACTGCCGGCCCGTCTCTGTTCTATTTCCTTACAGGAGGCCCCCCAACAAAAAAAACACATGCGCAGCAGGACCTGATTGCCGGGATGCAGTGCCATGCAGTACGCCGGACAAGACAAAAGAATGATCTTTTCCAGCACAAAGACCCTGACACTGGTCCTCTGCCTTCTTTAACGAACTTTCAGACACTTGACTACCACTCAAAACTTTTTTACAGCACTTGTGACAAAATTGGGGACTTCCGCCCCTGGCAATATCCCCTACTTGAGTGACAAACTTCTCCTCTCTCCTCCTCAGGACCCCCTGGTGCGCCTGCGCGCCACCATTTCTCGTATCCAGACTGGTCGAGGATGCTCCGCGTCCCCCAGTGCCACCGCACCCGCACATCCCCAGCCCCCGGCGACCAGCAACATCTACGCGACCCCGTTTCGGGGTCCTTTGGCCGTCTCCAGCCTCTCGGCCGTCGTCGACCAAAGGGGGGGGATTTTGTGGGGTCGCGTCCACGCGGCGTGACCCAAGCGTAGCATCCTCACTTGGGCACACTGCGCAGCAACGCCATTACACAGACCAGGAAGCGGATAGGTACCCAGTTTGCCGCATTGCGGTAAACCGGGTCAAGAGCAAGAGATAGAAATCTCCGGCAGCGGAAGCCGACACCGAAGTCCCGGAGACTTTGGGAATACGTCATTCAATCCTCAGAGCTTGTGTGTGCCTTACAGCAGTTGAGCTTACTTACGTCATAGCGCGATTGTCTGTCTTGTAACTCTGTGTACTTATTATCCTTCCGCGGATTTCTGTGTGTCTGGATTAAATTGCTGCTTTCTAAGGGACTCTACTAAAGAGGATCCAGCCGTTGAAGGCTGACTGACTGTGTCCATTCCTTTCTCTAATTCTTTGTCATTAATCGGCCTGACAGATGCCACAAAAAAAACATACTAATAATGAGAGGCAAGGAAAATGATTTGATGAACATTTGATTACATTAATACTGTTGAACCTTGCTAAGTCAAACGTCGGTAAGTCAAATACCTCCCTAATTCAATTTTTTTGAGTCCCCATCCGGATTCCTTTATAAAAAATGCATTAAAATACATCCCTAACTCAGACTCTTAGAGGCCTTTCCTCTAAAACCTCCATAAGTCAAATTTTTGAGTCCTTTAGGTTATTATTTTATTGAAACAGGAAAGAAGAAAAAACAACAAAAAATGGAATTTGATGTGCTCTGATAGAATGTGACAGACTAAATTGGGCAAATGAACCCCTGTCTCATCAAAGTTGAGTGCCCTGTCAACTCATTTTAGAAGCAACACAAGTCCCAGAATATCGAATTGTACAATTTAGTGCAATTCTTCAATGTTTCCCATAATAAAAATGCTTGATTCTATAGGTAAAGCATCTATAATTCTAAATAACTCAAACCTCTCAAAGTTGGAACCTCCTGCCTAAGTCAAATTTTTTGCTGGTCCCTTGAAAATTGGCTGAGATGGATTCGACTGTAGCATGATACAGTATTTTATTGTGGTTTGAGTTATTGCAGTTCGGGAGAAATACACTAGAAAATGCCTTTATTTTAAAGAGATTTCAGAAAAAATCATAGAGCAGCAGTCATTGTGGATAAAATGTTTGCATAATTCTCACTCCACATCCAAATTGCTGTTTTTTTTCAAGAAACAATTCTATGAGTGTTTCATTCTCACATTTTTACCTGTTGTATTTTTGTCAAAACTTGTTTGCTGCCAAAGCAGGTGATTTCATTCTTCTACTACAGAAAATGAAATGAAAAATAGTTTGAAAATTCGAAAATCAGCTAGCAACATAATACTGTACATGCTTTCCGATTTAAGGTAGATAATTCAGTCATTTTAAACTTTTTAAAATCCGTAGTGCATTCGTAATTTTTTGTTCACAATTCTGCGCGCTAATTCAGTTCCCATGGGATTTTATCGATGAGCTTTTTGTCGAGTTTATTTTTCTTGCTGCCATTGCAAGCAATTCTCAAAGTAAACTGATAATTTAATGGGACTTGGGACATTTAAAAATTATGTAGTGATAATGAAAACCATCTCCTCAATGGGAGAGGGGCCATTTATTTGTTTTTAATGATTTTTTTTATCAGTATACTGCATTGTATAGGCGTGTATTTAAATTGCCAGCTACTCTCACATTTTATATTCCTCCTGTATTTTTTTAGGAGGCCTTCAATTCTAGATACCATCAGGCCTCAGTTTGTTCTGAAAGTGGACGACGACACGTTTGTCAACGTTCTGGTACTTCGAAAATTCCTGGAGTCCATATCCGGAAACGGAAGTTCCATCAGTGGCATGTTCGGACGTCTGGCGTCCGACTGGAAACCACACCGAGACCCGAAGTCCAAGTATTTCGTCTCGAACGCCGAATTTCCGCGGGAAGCATTTCCGGACTACTTAACGGGACCTGCGTATTTAATGACAACGGATGTCGTTGAAGCTCTTCTCCAGGCACATGCTCAACTTCAAGAATCGTCCGAATTTCTGTTCCCGTTAGAAGACGTTTACCTCACTGGGATTCTGAGAGAGTCTTTGACTGGGACCGGAAAAAAAACGCCATTTTCGATGAAGGGAAGTTGTTTCATAACGAGTTTGTTCCGGTGAGCCGCTTGTGCTCCATTTTGAGTGTCCTCAGCATCCACAGAATTCCAGCTGGAAAGCAACTGGTTTTGCACGAAAGGCTTCAAACAGCCGAAAGCAAGTGTGCACAAATCAGAAAAGAGTTCAAATTTTTTTTCGGATAGAAGTGTTCATTTTTGGTGGGAAATTCGATGAGCTAAGAAATGAAAGACTTGGCTGTTTCCAGAGTCGGACATCTTCTTTGAGGGGATAATTCAAAAGTTAAAAAAAATACATCTCATTATATTGAGTCATGTGGAGTCAAAATGCTCTATAGTTCAAACTTCTCAACCTTTTTGACCCCCAGCCCTTTTTTGTATTCTATACAGTACAGTAGCGTACAAGTAATTTTTCCCGGCATTCGGCAAATAAACATTACTGTATTTTTTAAAGTCCTTTGTTGCATTCCTGAAACGGTTGTTTTCCTCTTTTCTCAGAAGCCCACTTATTCTTGAGGTATATTCAATGCGAAAAAGTCAAATTTGGAATAATGTTCTGTTTCATTGATGCATAATTTATTCCTTTTTTATATTTCTGAAGTGTCCGCGGAGCCCCATAGGGACATCCTCGCGGAGCCCTTCGCGGAGCACCGGTTGAAAAACATTTACGGTATTTCAATTCTATGTCACCGAACATCTTCTACTTGTTAATTCTGCATCGAAAATCAAAGTGAAACTTTTAAATTCAGCCTTAAAGCCAAAAAAATTATGTAACCAGGATATTCATGCATTAGAATATGATAGTTTTAAGAGCGCGAGACATATTCAATATTATTGCATGGAAAAGAGCGCGAGACATATTGCACATACTGTATGTATGTTAAAACGTCTTGACTCATCGCACGGTTTGGGTGTGTTTTCTACTCATTTTTTTTTTAATTCCACCCTCTGGGTGAGAAAATGTTGGAATGACGTTCAAGGATTTATCATATACTATAGTAATTCTATAAAATTATTTTTCATGAATCAAGGGGAATAAATATTGTACCAAGAAACGTGAAGTAAAACGCTAGAAAAACGCAGAAGCCAATCTGTTTTTTACCACTATTTATAGGCTGTAAAAATGTATGCAACACGGCGTATACATCACTAGGTGGCTACTTGTTACATCAAATTTCAACAGGATAATTATGCTTTCGTTAATTGCAGCACAGAAATCACCGTGCTCCACAAAAATTAAATGAAATTTCCGTGGACGTCGCGGAGTGTCCGAGCATTTTTTCAAGTCTCCACGCATCGAAAATCGCAAAAAAAATAATGCCCACATGACATATTTTGCCTTTAAAAAAATTAGTAGCGCTGGCCGGTCGTTGAACAGCTCAGGGAACTTTTTTTTGCCGGTTTTTCGGCGAAGCACAAAAACAAGACATGCACCATGCGACAATAGAACGAGGGTGGAATTCTCTGGAACCACATGAATACCGTGTCGCTGAGAGGGTAGGCATGGAACCGTCTGGATCAACAACATGCACGTCACGAGTCTCACGACTAACTTTAGTTATGGGTTTTCTTCTTTACGTCCACAAACAGCATTCAACGGGGAGTTAGACGAGTGAAAACTACTGCAAAACTGCAGAAATATTTAAAATTATAGCGACGACTTTTAGTTGAGATATTTGACGAGTTTTTGCGCTCAATCTCAATGGAACCACGAGTGAAATTCCTCCGTCCGGGGATACCACTAGAGTAAGCTCGCTCTCTCGTCTCTCCCTCACAATAACCGAACTGGTTTTCCCTGGAATATTCGCGCTTCCTCCAGTAACAGCTGTTCCCATCTGCTCTGTTTACAATGCAGGCGAGTATAAAAGCGCGACCTGCGCCAATTTTTAAGTTATTCTGTGAAAGCCAAGCAGAGCGAAGGGAACTCGTGAAGAGAAAAAAGCTCGCTTATTCTAAGACGTAAAGTTTGAGCACTAACTTCTAAAGTCGATCGTCGTGTTGTCGGAAATTCTTTTCACTCATAACGGACGCTAAAGACACACTGCTCTTCAATGGTTGGAAGAAAAATTGTTCGTTACAGGAAATCATGTCGAGCTTTGGACTTGTGCCGTTTTTCCCGAGATGGTACGATGACGTGTCTCGCAGCCACTCGCTGTTCGATCAGTATTTCGGAATGCCACTGCGTGACGATGATCTTTTTGATCCTGGTATGATGATGCCGTATTTTGGCCCTCGTAGACACCATCATCGCCATCCGGAAGGTCAATTGGCTCCAATGAGGTCATCTATGGACCGTGGAAGATCTGGATTGTCCCGTGTTACGAACGACAAGAATCAGTTCAAGGTAAAGTGTGAAAATTTGTAATACTGTATCTCGTGAAGAGCCTCATGCCGTGGCGACATCTGACTAAATCAAGAACGTTTACTTCCGATAAGTAAAGCAGATGTCGCTATTGCATGGGCATTATTTCGCGACAGCAATTCTCACAGAGTTCATTGATAATTCGCTGACGCAAATATTCATTTATTGCAGGTGAGTTTGGATGTTCATCAGTTCAAGCCGGAGGAGGTTCACGTGAAAACGGTGGATAATTATGTGACGATCGAGGGTCGCCATGATGAGAAGGAAGATGAACATGGTTACATCTCACGTCACTTCGTTCGTAAATACCTTCTCCCTGAAGGAGTCAAGGCGGAGGAGGTAACATCTACCCTGTCGTCAGACGGAGTTCTTAGCGTTACTGCGCCGAAACAAATGGCAATTGAGAAGGGCGGAGCACGCGAAATTCCCATCTCTCGTTCCCCGTTTCCGGCATTGGGAAGCACGACTGCTGCTGCTCAGAATGGACACCCAAGTGAAAAGGAAGGCGAGAAAGCTGCCAGTGGCGAACCAATGGAGAAATGAATCGGCGGAAACGAGGAAATCTGAAGCAAGTGGACTGTTCGAAGACGTGATTTGAAAATATGTGAACTCGTGTAAACAATTTTTGGTCTCCGCCTTGAAGGCAAATGTGAATTTGAATGTAAATTGGTTTAGTGTGAATAAAGTGCTGTAGAGAAACACGTTTGGATTAATTCTAAGTAGTAACTATAAACTTCAGTCGGAATTCTAGGATTGACTAATTTTGGCTGCAGAAGTTGACCAAATCTTCAAAACTGATACACCTGGTATGTCTACATGGGCTTGTATAACAGTGATGCTACAAAATTCTGAAATCGTTTGAGATGCTTCAGCATTGACCTTCCTACGCATATATACCCTACAAAATTTACACATATATTACGACGGACTTGTGCACTAAAAGTAGCGCTGGGGAAAAATGGTTCATTTTTCAGAATGAGCTGGTAAATTCTTGAATGAACTGCTTCTTTGTGTTTCCCAAAAGAAGTAGAAATACTTATCCAGTAAATAATGCATTATTTTACTCCCAAAATCGATGCCATTTCAGGATTGTTCAACATGTAAATGAATAATTTCAGACAAAGGGATCTTGAAAGAGGTCTGTCCAGAATTTCAACTTCATCATTCAGCTCAAGTAGCAGAACTGTACAAAGTATGGTATGTGTCCAAATTACCCAGTGTGGACATGTATCATTTGTGTAGATACACATGTACAGAGTACACCAGGGCTTCGATAAACCCCCTGAAATGTGTTCCAAGAATGGGATGATTTTTAAACCCGAAAATAAACTCTTGAAAGAAAGATAAACCAATACATTTGAAACAAATCCTTCCGAGATTTCTTGTAACTTCAATGATCCAATCCACCGACACATGACAAACTTACCCTGACCTTATACCCAACAGACGTACACAAACTTTATACATGACGAACTTACCTCAACCTTGTACTGTACCTAAAAAGCTTACCCTAACCTTATATTGTTCCTAACATACTTGCCGTAATCATATACGGTACCCAACAAACTTACCCTACTCTTACACCCAACGAACTGATACCTCACCCTACACTTACATATATCAAAGTCCACCTACTCTTAAACTTAAAAAAAGTTATCCTAACCTTATACTCAACAAACTTACCATTGACAAAACGCATTGACAAAAGGAACCAAACTTATCCTAGCCGACCTATTCAAGTCTAACCCAATGAATCAATCATAACTCAACTAGCCTAAGAGTAAGTTTGCACTATTAATGCAAGGTAAAACTTTAAAAAATGAATTATTATCTCACAGAACAAATCTGACACCCAACCATCATCTTTTGAAGCCCAAACCTGAATATCCTCATCGAAAACTCGATCAGCACAACCTAGCAAATCAAATTATCACACGTATCTCAGCCAATTGAAATAACCTGATTCTAACTAAGTCGGCCATTCTCATCCCAAATAACTCAACATTCCTATCCAAATCTAGATGTGGACCAACAGACGGACACATGATTGACGAAGCACTCGCAAGGCAGCTTCAATAAGGCACAACTGGTTTCATTATTTGTTCCAACGCAATCTCCTGCACTCGCAGGGAAAATGTCACCAGGAAACCGAGAAATACGCACTTGAGATCCTGCGAAGTCAGTACTTCGTGGAAGTACATGACTTTGGCTTTGTGATGCGTGATCGTAATGGAATCAATCAGCTCCGTGACGTTCTTGGCAAATGAGCTCGCCTGAGAGTCCACACACTTCCATTGCAAGACGTAAGTGCCTTTGTGTTCCGTGGCGTGCGAACCCTGGATGCTCTCGCCGTCGTGGCAAGTGATGGCATCTTCCACCAAGAAGTAGTCGGTGCCTTCCTTCCAGCCTTTCTCAAATACCGTGCGATGGTCGCTGTCCGATGCCAGAGGGTTGATGCTATGCACCGCTTTGCCTGGAAAAGCCAATCAAACGTAGGGAATTAAGCCTAAACACTTTGAAACGAACGCGACAAAACGTACTCTTCCTGCCAGGCAATAGTGTTTACTCATTTACTCAAATGTATTTACGCCATTCGTTAAAATAAGCATCTCTGTTTTTGGTACCGTATCTAAAAAATCGACTCGATACGGTAATATCCTAATTGACCCACAAACTAGAATAAAAATAACAGGGCAGATCAAATTTAGGAAACTTCAAAATGACATTGTTAAATTGTATTTGTGGAACGTTCGAAACCGTATATGCGTTAAAGATTCTCCAGCGACCACTCGGGAAGTTTTCGGAGAGAAATCGATACTCCCGTTAAAATTTACCAAGAGATTCGTGGAGTTCTATATTTTCAATGCATTTGAGGAAAAACTATGAAACCTACGCCTGAATGTTTCAAACGAGGATTGGTTCATGAGTTTGGCTGCTGACTGACCGCTAACTGTGTGATCTGTGTCCTAGAACGTGAACAACCATTTAATGCTATCCGGTAATTCAATCATCTGTGAGATCTTCTTCAACGATGATAGGGGGCGGGGGTGATGTTTAATCCCTTTAATTTTTCAAATGCAATATGTTCCTGGGGAGAAGATATTAAAAAAAATTAAATGAAGTATTCACAACTGAGGAAATCGCTTGAAAATCACCATCAACTTAGGTACGAAAACCTTTGCAATTCAAGTACGGAAATTTAAGCAACTTCTTGCTTCAACTTGGAAGTTGCATTCAAATCATCCCTGGGCGGAAATACGGCATGGTTTACGAACTCACACGCAGTTAAAATACTGTGCTTTAAAATATTTTACAAAATTTTGAAATCGCCTGAGACGAAGTTTCAGACCTGACAACCAGGTACCATGAAAAAAGGGCTCCAATCTTGGAAATTTTCGGTCAAAACGTCAATCGGGAATGAATAAGTTTCCCCAATATAGTGTTTCAATTTAACGAAACCTTCAGGAAATGAACGGGTATCTTTTCGATGCCTCGCAATTGATCACAGAAGTTTCGAGGGGAATCATCCATCAGAAACTTGCCTACCCCAAAAACTTAGTTTCAAGGTATTTACAGTCCAGTCCTGACAAAACTTTCGAACGATTCCCGCTCAATTCTCTAATTTCGCAGAACATACTCGGTTCATTTTTCGGCGGCAACGGGAGTCGAGTCCGAAGCACCGAAAAGATAACCGCTTGCTTCATGACGTCGAAGTCCCAGCAAATGACGCTGCCGACGTCTTCGTTGTTGATGACGACTTCGTGGACTTGGCCTCGGGCAATTGACACACTGTGATAGATCGAATCTTCGCAGAGAGGAAAATGTTCTCTATCTTTCTCCATCTCTTCCTCGCTCATGTACAAGGCCTTCGGGACAAGGGCTCCATCCACAACCCGCGTCTGGAAACAACGAAATCGAGTTCGTTAATTAAAAACGCACATATCCCGAAGCAGTTTCTTGATGGAAGTTGATCAGTACGAACAAATATGATATTATCTAGATGAAAGAAAAACGAACATCGATCCGGGCCAAGAGTAAATCGAAGAGCACATAAAAATCCAAGTCACTCGGGTTTTCAAATAAAAACATGAATTTTACTTCACGAATCGAATATACCAGTATGTTGAATGTAGGCCTTTTCGACATTAAAAAAAACGTATTCAAGGAATGGAAAAATGCACCTCAAGCGTGTTAAAAGTATTTCCATTTGTAAATGCAACATTTTGCATAATTATATTACAGTACATCAAACATAAATTTCGAACTAATTCATGGGCAGAAGCTTTCCCAAAAATAAAAAGAAACGTTACCTCACGCTTGGATCAAAGTGAAAATTACACTGAAATACTGCACTTATCGAACTAATTAGCTTAGATTTTTTCCAATTTAACGCCTGACATTACCTTTCAAGGCGTTAGATAGGTTCAGAACTGCATAATTCTTTCTGTGAAAAACTCATCAACCCTGAGCAAACAATCTAACGTCAATTAACTCGAGTCGAAAAGATAATCCAACGCATAATCTGACCAAAACCAAAATACTTCATATGATGTGGCGGCGTAACCCGAAAAGCATTAATCAACATAATCTAATCATAAATTTTACAAAATAATTCATATCCCCAACATAGCCTCATGGCTTAACCTAAAAGAACATAACCTAGCATTTACCGTATCAACGTGAACTAAATCTTATCCCATAACTTGACCCTGGTCAACGTAACATAGCCACAACCGACAAAACCTAACCCTGAACTACTGCATCACCAGATTTACCTTACATTCAACGCATAATTGATCAAGCAATTTTTGTTACGACAATAAGGCGCAACCAAATGCGATTGACACAAAAATAACTGGAAAAATATAACCATAAAGATTTGCGTGTGACATTCAATTAAAAAAATTCGAATTTCGTCGAATTCCGAAAAAATAACCTTTGCAGTGCCACCGAGAAAGTCGGGGATGGAACGCGGCTCGATGTATTCGGAAAGACCTCCAGGGCCTTGGTAGTCGTTGCCCGAGTAGAAGATGAATTTGCACCGAGTATTGTCATTGATGAATGTGCCCACAAGAGTCCAGAGGATCG